TAGAGCACAGGCAGGACTAGGGGCAACAAGTATAGGCGTAGGGCCGCGATTAAGGCAACTTCTCAAGGCAACAATTGGCTACTACGAGGAAACTAGGATACAACTCGCTGCGAATCAAGAAGAGAAAAGAACTAGCACAGTAAACACAGATTCAGCTTTATGTATACATGAAGAGGTTATGAATAGAGAATGATTAGAGAGCGACAGTTTCCTTGTCATCTTTGGCCGCTTCGTTCGTCACATCGACATGTTGTTTTCGATAGTTCAAAATCGCCTGCAGTTCAGCGCTCGTGTGAGTTTGATACTGCAAAAAGGTTATGTTAAGATGAAAGAAGATATAGAAATGAAATCAAACGTGAGCTATCAGCAGTGTAGAAGTCCACCAACAACGTTATCCTCTTAGAGACGTTCCACTTCCTTAAAATCCATCTCGAAAAAATGAATTCTCAACTCCTAATCCCATTTATAGGCCGCATGCATGGCGCAGTGGTGTTAAAACCAACTCTTTCAGTTCGAGAGCTTACGTACATAGTGGCAATCCGAGATCCAGGATGGCAGGTTGCCTAAGGTCCAAATTATCGCACCGTGACTAGAATCTCACACGTGTCAGTGATAAGAAACATTAGGTGAAAGTGGCGCACGGAGCTTGATTCCGTGGTGGGCAGTTTTTCGAGCGTTGTTAAGTAGTGAAGAAGGTCACCAAAGGAACTAATATTAGGTCGGTCAAAAAGTATCCGCCGTTTTGAGCCCCTAATTTTGAAGCACCACAACTTTGCTGAAACACAACCTTTTCCTTTGAAATAAAAACGTTATGTTCACCATATTGTTGTCAATCATATCCATGCTAATATCTACCCTTCCGATAGAAATTTAAATTATTGCAGGCCTAAATATGTAGGGAGGGGTTTCGACATACCCCAGTTCTCAACGCGATTTCTCCTCCAAGAATCATGTTTAAAAGTCGAGAATCGGTGGATCGTCAGAGATATTCCTGGGGTGCATGAAATACTGTCATACTCGACAAGGAAAGTCCGGAAAATTCCGTGAATTTCGTAATCTGTGCAGATACATCTAGCACAAATGTACACGAGAGACGTACACACCCGGTAAAAAGGGTTAAGATTGAGGGTATAGAGCTCAGCTATAACAAGGGGACGACATCAAGAGGGGATCAAATAAAGCTGTATGGGCCTTCAAACCGCGCTTTTCTACCTTCAATATCATCAGCGTCCGGACTTGGCTGCGTGGTGGAAAGAAGGGAAAATATTGAGTATTAATATTCGTGCAAGCATCTCATAGCCATGACTAGAAATCATGTAACTTCTGGAAGATTATTTCTCAACCTGTGGGTTATCTGAAAGATCATGCCAGAAGTTTTATTTATTATGACATCACGAAGAGGTCAAGCCGCGCTTTCGCAGACCCCTCTTGAGGAGGATCCCGCACTGATCCCACGCCCTGCATATGAGCTCCCTCACATCGCGGCTGTTTATTTGTAATGTAAATTAAGAACTATAAAACCAGACGATAGACTTCAAATGCCGCCCCCTATTTCTATCCAGAATTGCCCTCGACAAGGAGGGGGCCAAAGTTACGGAATCTTGACCACTCCACACAAGTTCCTTGAGAATTTGCAAAAAAAAACTTCAAAATGACCGCGCCCTTCCTTCCTCTACAGTACACCCGCTCAGCGTAAACAACCACGACCACGAACCGCTAAAAATTTCACATACGATCAGTCTTTCCCCAACTGCTGTAGAAAAGCCTGCAATACGAACCACCCCGCAGAAATATAAATGGAAACCCCGCGTTGAACATGGCGCACGGAGGATTGACCCTGCATGACATCAGGGCATGACTACACGGAAGAGGCCAACCTAATCTCATTTTGCAAGAAATCTACAAGAAGCGCGAAGGAGGAAAGGCTTCATTCGAAAGTTGACCTCGAAAGACCTCCTTGAGGGTTGTCTGTGAGGGAGTATGAATTTTCAGAGGAGATAAGGCAAACCTATAACCCTATAAAGTAACGAATCCGCTGGAGGAACAATCATTCGCCTAATTTGCCTTTCTGATTAAGGAAAGAGATTTGCATTGAGATCCATCGATCGAAGCCAGTGTGCTGTATTCACTCGAACTTCTGCACTAAAGAGTCACAGCGAGAAACGAAGCGATGAACTTACGTTGCTCTGATTTTTCTGCACCAGCAGTTGACTGTAGAGGCGACTGCCCTCCTCTTTCCCGCAGGCCTGCATCAAGCTAGCCTTGTTTAGAGCAAACAAGTTCGCTCCGTCCTGCCCTTCCAGTAGTTCAATCACTCTGAAAAGATACACCATTACTTGCCATTCAATGGAAATGGCTCGATATTATGCCAGAACGTCAAGCAGACAAAACCTCAAACTGAAGCCTTTTTCTTGAAGCCACAGAGCCACATCCTCCGGCGATGTATCCGCAGTGATTTGGATAGTGCTCTTGGTGGCCGTTGGTCGTGTTTCCTTCTTACGCAGAACGTCACCGCCTGACTTCCCGACGGTCTCACGCAATTCCGCTACCAAAGCTCGTTCTTCTGAAGGACGAGTTTTCTGCGAGATGCATTAAAATGAAGTACAACACTAATTTCAGTTAAGGCGTACCTCTCCTAGCCAGAGCGATGTGTGGTTTAGGTTGCTTGGATGTCGGAGGCTGAAATTAGGATGATTTAAGAAACTAAGATTTTTTTATTGTTAACTAAACTCTTACCACATATTCTTCAACATCATCCTTACGAGTTTCGTTGTGTTGGTGAGCGCTGTTCGGCTCCGAATAAACCGGCTGAGGTTCCGGAGTTACGCGATCCTGACGCTGCAAATGAGAATAAATCTACTTCTCTCCTACCGATAAAAGTGCCAAATAACGGTCTTCAATAGTAATTTGAAAGCAAGCGCGATGCTACTCCCTTTAGAATATTAGTATAGTTTGCGATTATGCTTCAGAACTACAACTTTCGCTTACAGAGATGCTCGTGATTTTGAAGCGGAAGTGGTGTAATGGTAAGTGGCGTGTTGATCAAACCCCGGCTCGTATGCTGCTCAAGCGAAACAAAACATCCTCGAGGTCAATTAACTGGTAGAGGACCCGTCTGTGTAAAGACACTATTTAAACATCAGCGCCCTCGTGCCAGTCAAGTCGTAGCCGACTCGCATTCGCAACATGCACTTACGACTTCTACAAGAAAGTGGAATGCGCGGCGCACCGCCAAAGAGATCGTTCGAGCGCCGAATGCTCGCCCTTTTTCTACGTTAATTAAACTGTAGGAAACAGACAGTGAATTTGCGAAGCTTCTTATTATACGAAAAGCGTTTACAGTTCGGTGAGGGTGAACTTACAGCTCGAAAATGTGGCGAAAGGTGTTCAAAATGGAACTACTGAAAATACTATCTCGGGATCCTTATTTAACTTTATCAAATGTAAATTCGAGTGTGTGTAGAGGCAACCCCTCCCCCTCCCCAACCTGTTTCGAGTCAATCTCTCATTTTACGAAGCTCACGAGAAATGAAAAGTTAAGATAGTCCTTCATCGAAAAAAAACTCATTGTTGAGGTACCAACGGAATTCAATTATAACCAGTTCGAATAACCCCAGGCAGTGGTGCTTACCACAACGGTAGGCGAAGATGTGTACGACTGTTGAGCGTTGGCGTGATTGACGGCATCCGACGATTCCCCTGTAAATAAAAATGAAACCAGCTCCAACCGTGGTCAAGGTAAATTAAAAGTTGACTGTAGAAAATTGCAAAAAAATTCTCGCAGCGCATTTTGGAGCTTTTGTTGGTCAGTTTTGACGATTAAATTGTGAACTTCGAAATTCATCAGTAGTTTTCAATAGTACTACGGGTGCGGAAATTTTGAACATTTGCTTTTGGTAAATTTTCAGCTAAAGCGCAAACACTGCAACGCGTGTTAGGCTGCACTCAAAGGGAATCCAGCATGGATTTATATGAATCCTTTCGGTGAGTAGGTGAGAACTGTTCATGAAGGTCCAGACATCTCGCTCTCCCCACTCTAATGTATGCAGCAAGAGTGCTATGGCCTTGCAAAAACCGCTTCAACCGCTTCCACTTTTTCTCGTCGCAACGTGCCGGTGTGTCTCATGCGATGGGATCTCTCCTCTATTCTCTCTTCTCTGCACTCATTTTCTCACTGGCTCAGCACAGAAGGGAGATTATTCTTTTCTTTTCTTCTTTAACACGTTGGAGACCGTGCATGTTTTACGTTTTGTAGGCCGCGTGGCACTTCAGCAGAATTTTTAGGAATCTTATCAAGCAAATTGGAATGAAAAACCTAGTGCATGATGCAGAAGAAACCTTATCAAATGCGATGGAAAAGAAAATGAAAGGAAAAAGAAAATGAAAAATAATTTTGTTTCCGAAATGTGGGCTGAAAGGTCCTAAGCGGTTGACGGACTGCAGCCCACATATGGGCTGCATGGGCTCCAAGGTGTTAATGCCGGCCCACTTGGACCCACTTAGGACTAACGGTTTCATCTTCGTGCACAAGAACCACACGAGTTTAATCCTGAGGTGCTGATACAATCAAAACAAGCGCACGTTTAAATCACTCATATTTCTGCAAATTCAATTACCTAATTCCAGTTCCCCTCCGAAGGAACCATTTCAAGCGAGAAGTCAAAAACGTGACGTTTCTGGGACAGTGAAAATCATGGCTTTTCCTACTAGGAAGCGATGCCAAGCAAACCGTTCCTATAAATTCGCGAAACCCCTTGTTTTGAAGAAAACAAACTCCACCAAAGCAAATTTGTTCGTAAAATGAAGAGCGTTTGATGCTAGCATGTTTTCAAAAATGAAATTGTAATAGTAAGTCTGTGAGCAGTAAAGAAAATAACAAAACCATTTCAGATTTTTCCCATTTAGAAAGACAGAAGAATCATAACTTGGCTTTTTATTTGAGCCAAGACCTGATTAAAATTCGCTAATCACTTGCATTGCTCTGTCGATTTGTTGAATTCATTACGTATATCCGTAACTATTCGCGACATGATTTACTACGTAGGGAACTTCGCGTCATCCGGGCCGGCTGCCGGCGTTTCTGCGAGCTGGCAGTGAGATTGAATGAGCTTCTCTACAACAAACGCGGGTTTCATCTTCGGGAGCAAAGGCAGATTTAAAGTTGTGATGAAAGCCTGAGATCTTTAGCGATTAACTATGTGCTTAATAGCGGTTTCCATTGACTGCAACAGATTCACACTATTAACAATGACATCAGCGCTTGTTGAAATAGCTTGATCAAGCGCACTAGAGCTCATGTTGATAACGGGAAGAGCACTTAGAAAAACCATTATTTTGTGACAATGAAAACGGATGTTTCCCTCCCAAAAGCCGCGTGAGAAGGCAAAAGTGCTTTCTTGAATCCACTTTGAAAATTTATGTAAACATTTTTACACACTAATTAATTAATTAATAATTCAAAATATGTGTTAATTGGAATAATCCACATTACAATTCTAGACCCCCCCCCTCTCGAATGATTGAACAGAAAGCTTTCCCGTCATACAGGGATGCACAGCGTTGCAAAATGTCGGAGATTGGAACACAAAGAGCACTTTATGACCAGAAAGTAGTCGCAAAACTTGACGCAATGACGCACGGCCCTTTAACGGCCATCAAATTTCATGTGGAGTTGAGAAAGTTCAAGCCAAATTCCTGTTTTATTTTTATATTCCGTTCAGTAACGATTCTGTGTTAAATGTTGAGCAGGAATATTCGGCTTCGAACACCATTCAAACTCGCGTTTGTCTTTCCGGTAACCACAGTTAAACAGTGATCAAAAGTGACCGCTGACAGCTTTCATGCATTATTTTTTCTCACCTTGACAACCGACTTTGAATACTTCATGCCTTTTCAATTTCGAATCCTTGGGCTTCAAACATTTGTGGCACTTAACAATCTCCAGCTTCCTCCAACTCCTTTTCGAGAGTAAGAAAAAGTAATGCATGGAAACAGTTTCGACGAACCTTTCTTGACCACTACTGTGTGCACTATGCCCCAGGAACTCGATCACCTCCCCTCAGCTTTTCAGTGAAATATTTACCATAACATTAGCACTCATAGGTGAGATGTGAAGAATCGGCCGGCTGACATCGACAACATCTATAAAGCTTAGAGGTTTATTAAAGGCACGAGTCAGGCTCAGTGGACCAAACCAATCCCTTTTGTCGTCTTTGTGCATGGCTACGCACCCACAGAGACGTTACCATGCTCAGAATCCCAAACGGCGCCGTAATAAGGCCCCAGGGCACGTATTAAGCGCTTTCGCCGCCTGGCGGCGCTCCGACCGCCCACCTCCGGAAGTGTGGTGCGTGGCTGGCATAACGTGTGAAATCAGCTAGGTTGATTGCCGTATCAACCGATAGAACGACTGACATCTCCAGAAAACTTGTTTGTACGTGCCTCTTTCCCAAGCCAGCCTCCTTCACTGCTAGTGGGAAAGAGGGTTTTGTTAACGGCCTTGTCGACGGTTTTTCTCAGTTTTTTCTCCACTGTCGTTCCACTTCGCATCTCTATACTCAGTTTCAATCGCCATAATACCCCCTTATTGAGCCCGACTTTTGCCTTTAAAATCGCTCAGGAAGCTTCTTGTGATTTTTGATATTTCGAATTTAGACGCCTTACATACTTCTGAACTCTCCACACTTCCCAAAGTTGAAGCTCCACAAAGGAAAGGCTATCAGGTCTGCAGCCAATGCCGCGCATAGAGACCGGGAGAAGCCATGGACTATAGTTCTAGCAGCAAAAACCCCCAAAGAAATGAAAAATGCACCAAAAACTTCAACAAATATGGGCACATTGTTTATAGCGGAGAAAGCGATTCTCCTCCACGAATCTGCTCGGTCACATATCGCATGAGCCCATGGTTCGCCATATTTGGCAATAACTCCACTGGCTACAAACAAAACACAAAATGTGAGCTCTAGGCCATTTAACCGCCAGTGTCTCGGCTCCAGGTGCGCCTTGCTCGTTGGTCGACGTACTTTCAAGGAGCGATTCAGTAATTGAGTAGGGGTGAAGGCTTTATGGGCACCATTACCCTTTCTTGCCCCACCCCTCAGAAATTGAGCAGGATTTTATCAAAATCCATGACTTTTCATTTCCATGACTGGGGATTTGGATAGGATGCTGAAAGGTAGTTCAAACCGTAGAACACGATCATTACAATCATTCGACGAGAGAACTTGTCGTCAGGAATAGTTTCACCCGTAGAACATGAACCGCACCAGATTGGCCTGTGCTACAGGCCCAGTGCGGCCGGCAAGCAATTTCGAGCTAAACTTGCAGGCGATATTCGTATTCTACGGGTTGAACTATCCCGAAGACAGCTTTCTAGTCATGTAATCGGTCATAAACAAATTTCGATCAAAATGCGAATCAGGTCCTGAGGAGTGGGGCAGGGTAGTAGGAGTATCGGTGAACAGCGTCCCGAAATATTGCCATCCATGATTGCTGCTCCCTAACACTAGAAAAACCACTTTTGGGCTACAAACAGGTTTACAGCTATCTTGGACCACACGAATCAAAGAATTGGCTATGCTAGTCGTCATGGAGCACCGAGACACTGCACTATTAAGTGCGTATCGGCAAGGTATCTATTGTTCGAGTGAAATGTTTGTTGACTCACGTAAAGAGAGTGAACTACCTTCAGAGCACCGCTCGTAGTATGGAAGGCGTTTTGAAACGCCTGGTACAAGAAAACTCCAGAGGACTGTGATAGGGCTCAAACTGTAATACTGTTAAGTTATCCTACCCTCCATAGAGCGTGGTCATTTTGACACCCTAAATGGCCCGGGCGGAAGTGGTGTAGTGGCAAGTGGCACGCTTACCACGCGAGCGGTAAAGGGATAAAAGGGTCGTGAGTCGCTGGGCCAACCAAGCCTTCCATCCCTCCGGGGTCGGTTAATTGGTACCAGACTTGTCTGGGAGGATAACACTGACTTGTACATCGGCTGGCCCCCGCAAGTCATTGTATAGGCCACATCGCATTCAAACGCCACTGCGAATGTACAAATGGAAGTAGAATGCGTGCCGCATCCCAAAAGGGATTGATCAACGGCAAATGCTTTATCCTTTTATCCTTAATGATAGCCTGAAGCAACGTTGGCGCCATAACACTCTTGTCACAGGTGTAGACGTCATAGATTGTTCTTGAGATCAAACGTCATTCAAACCGTCAGTTGTATTAAATGAAACATCTCTTATTTGAGCTCTGAAGCCTCGATTTGGACATCTTGGCGCAGCTCTATAAAAAACTATTGCGTTGTTATTCTTTGAGACTTTCATACTCATTACGAGCTTATATAAGGGGTCTAATTCGGAGCAATCGAATTATAGAGCCGGGCAGGACTTTTGGCTAGGCGGTAGAAGTTTTCAAGGTTTGAGACCACATGGTACAACTTTAAAAAAGGAGTTGGCTCGATTTTCAACAAAACCACTGAGTTCTGAAATTGCATTATTATCACTAAAGCTTACTTCTGATAAGGATCGGTCTAGTGTAGAACTTCTCAAGTGTTTCGAAGATTTCGGACTAGCTCATTGGTCCAAGGAAATGGTCCTGAACTAGAAAGGTTATCGAAACATACTCTTCCTGGCGCGAGGTGGTAGGAGTCCAGGTGTGAGGATTCTCATACCATAATGCATGCATTCGTGAAGGAGACGTGCGTGATGAGGCATAAGGACCGGCCCTTCTCAAAACGTGCACTATAAAATGAGATCGTTTATGCTTTACCTTATGCATAGGTTGAAGTCCGAAGGAGTGCTCCTTAGTACTACGGATAAGGGTAACAAGGTGTGGCCCCCGAACAGAATTTTCACCCTGCTTTGGTCGGAAAAAAATTTCGATAGTTCAGATATAAAAACATTGCAAGCGCTTGGAGATTCACTCGATGAAGAACGGGACTCATTCAGCTCCGAGAATTGAACCATTCCGGGATGACCGTAGAGCACATTAAAATACAGACCTCAAACGCGAAACCTACGCTAAATTGGCCGCGCGCAAAAATAAAAGCAGAGGTGATGAGTGGTGAGGAAGAAACAAATAGAAGCGAGCTTCATGAATGGAAAAGGACTTCTGTTACGCGTTTTTGGTTTCCGCGGGAAGAGATCCAGCGATAGCGTCATCAGTGGGCAAGTACTGCTCTGCTTTTCTGGAGAGAGCCAGAGGTCCGACGTACGGAGAACAGCGGCTGGAGCAGCTTTTGAGGCGGGAACAACCGTGAAGGCGGTCACAGCCACGGCTAAGGCCCCGTTATGTCGCTACGGGCGCGCCGTTCGCCATGAAACGCGCCATCTCTTGTACCCTTTAATGCCCAGCTTCTCACGGTAGTTTCCCCTGTTGAACATTCAGTTTATCGTCCCAATGCCTTTATCTGTAGACCACACTTGAGCGCGGACGATATGGGCGCCATGACCTGCCTGTTTCTGTCTTCACTTGCTGCACATCGTCAGTACTATCTCTACATGTTGACTGCATGTTGAAAACAGATTGAAATACAAAAATTTCATTCATTTTACATACGGAACATGAATGAATGAAAAAGGCACTATGTCAAGAGAATAGCTTGAGCCGGATAATACGACATCATCGTTTCTGTTATCAAAGAGCATCTATGAAGAAGATGGTGACGACGAAGAAAAAAAAGCTCAGAATCAGTTAGATATATGGTCCATCTATAGCAGCTATTTATAAAAGTATCACGAGTATAATCATCTGCACGAGGAAAATTCATTGTTGGTGTTAGAGTAACGCTGGAAGTGAGGGTAATGGCTTTACTGGCAGACTGTCATGCTACGCTTCAGTCCTGAGTGCAGAAGGACGACGAACATGTGCTGGTGACGTTGATCATCGTGGAACAACTGATGAGAATGGATTGGGCGTTGTTAGTGAAATGGGCGTGGTTAGTGAAGTGTGTGTGAGTGAGAGTGAACGTGAGAGGTGGAATGTCTGGTGTGACCACAACATGTATGATTAGTACTGACGATGCGTGTGTTAGGTGAAGAGTTCAACATGCAGGCGATGAAAGCCAGTCAGGGCTCCTACCCTTCAGGCACGACCTGCCTTCGGTTCTCTTCCAGCAAATGGCGAAATGAAGCCACCAACGAAACACAAGCATTTGAGCATGCGAAGGCGCGAAATGCCAGCGATAATCGCAGCGCGTTGCGATACGATTGAGATTAGCGAAAGCCAGGCAAATCGGTTAACCAAACGGCAAAATACGAAGTGAATACGAACAGTCTCGGCTAGCTGCAGCTTACACATTCAATGCTTTTTGCGGAATAATCATAAATCTAGAATTTAGTTCAGAAATATCGGAACTCGCCACGCCGACCCTGACGCTCTTTCACGTACGGGGGCGCGTCATCGGGCAGCATACCTGGCTTCGGACTGCCACCATGAGCGTGGCCATTCGGTAACGATGAATTGTCACGGCCCTGAAATATATGGAAAGGCTTATTACAGAACGACATAAAAGAAAGGCTTGTAGAAAACTCACGTAGACATCACGAGTATCGGCGTGATCCAAGGGCACCATCGACAGGATAGTGTGGGTACGTAGCCGACCCGCTGGTGCACATTTCGACATTCCCACCAATTCTTCGTGTCTTCGAGAACCTGAAAAAAAATGTAAGATAGCAGTGTGAAGGTGACGAATCTTGACCCAAGCACATTATTAGGCCCTTTCGGCCGAATTGAAGCTAGTAATTGCCAATGATCATTTCAGGAAATCCTGCGCCGAAGAACGTGTCCGTGCGCAAAGGCCTTCTACCCACGGATTAGGCATAGCTGAGACCCATTTCCTCTTTGAAAGGAAAGAATATTGTACAACAGAGGAAGTGTTACTCCTCTAAAGTTCCGATGTGAAAGTGTCACAAAACTGCGCGAGAGGGAAAGGGAGGACGGATGGGGTCGTTCCCCTGGTCGTCTCTTGGGGCCGTCCGTCACTAGGAAAACTTTCTGGCCTCCTTAATTTCCAGCAGGTCCACCCAACTTTTCATTGGCAATGTAGTCAACTTGCGATGAAACGTTTTCTACTCCCCAAACTCAAATGGTTAGAGTAAATTTCTTTCTACGATGCCGACCTGATTGTCGGCCCCCCACAACAAAGATTCGTCCTATGCGCACGTCTGACTCCACCCAGAGGCAGGGTCGCTCCTATCGTTGGTACTTTTTGCAAAAATTTTCCACCACAAAACCTCAACAAACTATGACCCCCGTTGGTACTTGTAGCAACGAAGGCTTGACCCTGCCCAGAGGTCTGTGAGCACATAACTGAGCGTGTTTCTCAAGTTTTTTTCGTGAGTGAATTTTCATGCATGAAGTTTTGTACGCTACAATTAGTTATCACGGTGCATTGATGTGGCGAAGAATACGGTAGTTCCGTGCCCAATTCTTCCAAGGATTACTTGTCATATTTATGCCCATTGGTATTGACAGTAAAAGGTGCCTCCTGTCTTATAAGCATTAGTAAGCTACCCAAAATAGCCTTCAGAATGGTCTCCGATAACGGATTGGGGCCACGCACTAGTGCTCTACAGCCACGTTGAAATGCATGCCACGGAACAAACCTCAAGGTATTCGCCACGGCTCACGGTCAATTCTTTGGCATTTTGAGCAACTCGGTCGTATGTAGCCACCACTAGTTTACTACCTCGTCCAATCGCGTCCTGCACAAACGCCCTGAAAATAGTAACGATGGTGGGAATGCTGAAGTCTACTCACTTCTCCTCCAACCAATGTTTTTTCTGATCGCCTAAGTAAAGCCACGAATAAATTCGGTTGCTCGTTCAGGGGCTTCTTTAGAGGTGAACAGCGTGATTGGGACTGATCTCCTTGCTTTAGAATAGAGTTTTCTTACCTTTGTCGAGGTGATTGGTCGCCCAAATCAGGGAGCATCACTGGGCGAACGTTCCCACGTGCTGTCATTGGGGATGCTTGCGATGATGGCGGACTGAAATCAAAATATGCTTTTTTTTCTCAGCGATTAGGAAAAGAAAAAATTCATGTAAACATGGTTCGTTTTAAGCTGTCAAATTTTCTTTTTGTCTCTGCCACCTGTTCTTTCCTGCTCACTTTGTCTCTCATTTCATGCGCTAACTCTCTTTATCTCAAATCTCAGCTTTGTTTTTATTCTCTCCAACAATCACAGCTGAGACAGATCTTACTGATTGGAGAGGAGAGTTCAAACATAAACGCAGTTTGTTGTATGAAGAGAAAAACTGGGGTGTTTCATTCAAGAAAAAAATCGTATTCCAAGTTTGGAAAAAAAGAAGGGAGCGTCAATTCTGAAAGGTAAGCAGTTGTTTTTGTAGCTTATGAGAGCTGAATGAATTTGTAGTAGGCCTATGGCGAATTTCGCGCGATTCTGTCCAGATAAACACATCAATTGAAGGAAAACACTACAGATGTTCAACTCGCTCTTGAAAAACCATATTGGTCTACTAAGGCTCCTGCGAAATCCCCAAAACCAGAGCATCCCTTTCAAAAGTTTTTCATCATTAAAGCGAGGGATTACGATAAGTTTGGACTGGGTTCATAGTGGAAGTGGAGATGCTGAATAATGCCCCAGTGGCGAAAAAAGCAAAGAAATCCGTCAAGAAGGCGCAAAATGGGACCCCTTTCTTTGCCCGTTGACCTCCGAATAGGACGAGCTAGCAACCCAATTAGGAAGGGTCCGCGGTGGGCGGAGCCACGGCGGCTGACGGAGCTCAGAAAGGGATTGCCAGCCCCAAAGGCGCTTTCAATTAGCGCGCCTTTGGCCTTGGAAAGACCAGTTATCGCTTCCTTAGGCCCCCTTCCACTGATGTATGTACTTCCTTCCTGCACACACACTTCATCGCAATCTCTCGCTTTAATGGTTGGAATGGTCCAGCACCGGTACGGTTTAGCAGCTCATCGCAGTTTTACTCGAGATTTACGAGACTTTACGGTTCATAGATGGATTTAGAACGGTTGCTATTCATTGACTCGGACTCGTGCTTCATCAATTTTCGCTCCGCTTCGAGACGAGCTCTCTCGGCCCTGGAACAGAAACTGTTACAAATTGATCATATCATTGATTGGATGATCTGAAGAGGGACTGCAAAAATGTCATCTAACGAGTGACAGAGTGCTAGTCGTTTTTGCCGTCAATCCACTTTAATTCAGAATCATAGTGGCTATGAATGCGATATGGCCTAGGCCATGAATGCAAGGGGCCAGATGACATGCATAACAAACCTTCACCTTCGAGGCAAGTCCAAAACATATTGATCTGACCCGAGGGACTGCAACACCCGGAACGATGGAAACCTTGGACTGCAAAAACCCGGAAGGATGGAAACCTTGGATAGCTGTGCAAGATTTAATCCGAGATCTGACCCCGAGATCGTGCGCGTGGGAAAGTGGCGCCAATCGCCATTATATCACCTCCACCCACCAAGCTAGGGAGGCGATTAATGCAGGTGTTGCTAAGAGAAAGGTTGGATCTTTGAGTGAGACCTTTTCGAAATGCTAAAATCCTGAAGATTCTGTAAGCCTGTACGTTAGCCATATGTATGGCATACCTTCCGCTGCTTCTTACACCTCAAACAGCATGACGTAAGTGGGTGAAGGGAACCTCAGAGCTTCATTTCAAGCATATTTCCATTCCTTAACTTGCATTTGGTCACACTGAAGCGCAAAAATCTCTATTCGTGCTGATCGCTGGGAGTTTTGCTAGGGCTCGTTTCGCTCACATGGCCTCTGGAATCAATGTGCCAGTGGAAATGGCCAGTACTAGGACACTTCATGGTCATTCTGCATAGGTGGCCATGAAACCCCGCTTGGCTGGTACAGAACCCTTTTGAAAAAAAAATTCAGCTGGTTCAACCTCTGCTCACTGCTCCTACACAGAGCTTATCCATGACTCACGCCTTTCAAAATTGGATAATTTTACGGGGCTCATTAAAAAGAAATTTCGAAGGGATTTGGGAGCTCAAGCAGTAGCCCATTTTTGTTTTCTGCGGAGGGAAAACGTAGCAACAAAGTATCTTCTTGAAAGGCTCAAACCACAATTCAACCTTACACTTCATACCATGCCATAATCGTTCTGAATGACAGCACAATGCGTGGCGCATCCCAAGAGGAACTGACTGGCGCCGAAAGCTTTATTGTTTATCCTTTTTTATTCTTCATCCCAGGATTGAATGGAAGTCTACCGTGGGTCATGTTTCCACGCAATCAACTGTTAGAAATCAAGATAAAATGTTGACATACTTGATGACTTTCTCTTCGTCCTGCAGCCGTCGTTCCCTTTCCAGCATCTTCTGTCTCTCAAAATCGAGTCGTTCTCGCTCGAGCGACAGCCGATCGAGATCGAGCTGAAAAATTAGCTGAAGATTGCTTGTACTGGCTGCTCTTTGCACGGCTCCTCGAGGAGGAAGGAAACATAGGGAAAGCTAAGAAGAGGGTAACATGCGGGATAGCACACTCACATTGTCGACGCTCATATTCCGCTGAGGACGCGATTTCGTTCTGCTGTTCAGCGGTGTCGATGGAGCCTATGATACGTGTGAACATAGTCTAGTATCCCAAGGACTTCACAACACTCTCAAGACAACATTCAAACATGCATTAAAAAATAGCAATAATTTTTGTTATCAAAAAATACCAACCGGAATGAAGGTATTATTTGTTTCAGCCGTGAGAATTAGCAGGGGTTAACAGTCGAGAAGAAAATTTGTTCAAACTAGGAAAAGGCATGATACTTGGGAAAGATTGATTGCTATTATGGGAAGAATAAAAGAAAACTCAAAAGTTTGTCGGAGCTTTGGACAACTGAAGTTGAAATACAGATTACAGTCACAAGTTTGACAGGTCGCGGTCTCCACAGCGTTTCAGAGAATATGGTGCTGGTCTAGCCCTTCCAAACGCAATTCATGACATTTCAGTGTGGTGCGTCGTCCAAGCCAAGGTTCTTTTAATACTTGGCTTCATGAGATCGGCAAATGCATAGGCCCCGCATTGGACTGGCCACCCGGACAGGGTCAACCCTACGTTGGTACAAGTACCAACGGGGGTCGTACCTGGTTGAGTTTGTAGGAGGGGGGGGGGGTCGTACCCACTTTAGTCGCTCGAAATCACGTGTGGGATTGAGGTGAAACTAAGATTTCGTGGGTAGTAGGAGGGCGCGCATGAAAAAAATTTGCCGTTTCAGCGGGCGTATAGACCCCCCTAGAAAAGGAAGGAGTGGGCTGCTCGACGGCACTTTTGGAGGAAAAAGTGGGCGGGGTTTTGATGGAAGATGGAGATGGTGGAGGTATGGGAAAAGGGGGTCGTATCAAATCCACGTTGGGGGAGGGGGGTCGTAAAAATTTTTCGAAAAGTAACAACGATAGGACAGACCCTGGTCCCCGCCCTCACAATAATCAAAAAAGTTGCAGTTGCCGAGAGCACCGATTTTTGCTGCCGGATGTTTCATATTTCGAATTTTATACTTGATGCAGCTTAGACTGAAGAAAACGATAGGAACATTGTAGAGCTCAGGAAAAGAGGAAAGGACTTTTGAAAAGCACATCTCACTCCTGGTAAAATAAATGTGTTTAAACACGGGAACAAAAACGCTACAAGCTTTTTACCAACCCAACATTGGGATAAGGGTTGAGTAGGTTAGAGAGAGGGCAAAGGGTCGTGAGACTTCAACCCGCAGAAGCAGTGGAACGATGCTGGCTGTGTACCAAAAGCTGCCGAATTCTCTTGGCATAGGGCCCACCCAACCTCAAATCTCCGGTTTCTCCACAATTAGAAGAAATCTTGCATGAATATCTTTTACCGATTGTTTGGTAAGAAAAATATTGGAGCATAATTGCTATTGAGTACCTGTTACACAAAGAGACGTGAGTATCAGGAAGAAAGGTAAAGTGTTACAGACAGGGCGAATACCCTCAGACAGCACAAAAAGTTCCAGAAAGGACTAAAGGAAGAGCGGCATGCTCGAGTAGGACGGTGGTAAACATACCGTGTCGACACTTCGATCCCGTGGAGATGGACGATACTGTACGGGTGGCGCGGATTCGCCACGATGAAGCGGCATCGGGTAGCCGGCTGATTGCGGTGGCGGTCGCTGCTGTTGCTGTTCAGGCAGACCGTATGGTGCAAATCCATCGACGAACACTGGCTTGTATGGCGGTGGAAGCGGTCCTACCCAATCCTCTCTGGAAAAGTTGTACTCATGGCCGTTTTCATTATTACACCACCCCCATATGTTCACCAAATCAGCTTCCGCAGCTGAATGGCTCCTGCAATCTGAGAACTAACTGCCTCTTCACCATTTGCCCACAAGAAGTAGGTTAGAAGCCTCTACCACAGTTTTCTCGGTTCAAAATGGAGATACTGGGAAGAACAGTTGCTTATTGCTGTGTGCTATTTTTGTATATAAGTATGAACACTTTGGTTCCGGCACTCAGAGTTCAAAGAAGTGACAGCCCCGAAGTCTGATTGATTTCAAAATTCCCCAGATCGAATTTGTGGGGTCACAGCGGTCGATAATGGAGTTGTGGATGCCGAGTTGACTAAAAATGAAAAAGAAGCAAAGAAAACCGTCGATGAAGCCCAAACAAGGATTCCCTTGAAATAAGGAAGGGGCGGGGCCGGACGAGTTGTACGAACTTGCCTGCTCCACGGCTCAACTAACCCGCGCGTTTTGAATTAGCCGCTACGCCGTAATCCACGTTTTGTGTCATGGGTGTGCGCGACGTAACTCGTCCAAATGCTAAGATTAGTCGCCAAAAGTCAAGCGAGTTTCCAAACCCCCTAGCTCCCACTTTAGAGCGCGAAAACGGCACGTCTGTGAGCTATTGATCCCACTCGTAAAGAAGAGTCCTTGACACGGGACTTCTGCTGCGTTGTTGGCTTTAAAGGTGTCCAGAACTTCCCAAAGTTTTTCGAAAATCCCGTCCATATCGCAGAACAGGGCGGAAGTGGTGTAGTGCAAGTGGCGCTTACCACGCGAGCGGTCCGGGGATCAAATCCTGGGTCGTGAGTCGCCCGGGCCAACCAAGCCTTCCATCCCTCCGGGGTCGGTTAATTGGTACCAGACTTGTCTGGGAGGATAAAAACACTGACTTGTACATCGGCTGGCCCCCGCAAGTCATTGTATAGGCCACATCGCATTCAAACGCCACTACGAATGTACAAATGGAAGTAGAATGCGTGCCGCATCCCAAAAAGGGATTGATCAACGGCAAATGCTTTATCCTTTATTATCCTTATCGCAGATCAAACCCCTTCCACCAATACGACCCTATTTTGTTTGTCATGACCTTCTACTTGCCCAGAATCGCAAAACACAACCCCCTGTCTGACTTGGCGGAAGGGCTACCCCTGATACGGAACCAGGCAGCGCCGTTGTGGTTTACGAACGAATAAGTAATTCCACTCACGGTGGTGTTCTCCAGGTTTCGCCGAGGCTCATCCACACATCCGATTCTTTGCTAGTCAAACAATTCTGCATCAGTTCACGTGCTTCTAATGACAGTAACGGTGAAACTATCTGAAATTGACAACTTCATGTCAACGAAAAAATCTTCCCAGATGGGGAGATAAGGAAGAACTGAGTTATGTACCTGGGGAGCAATATTTCCTCCAGACCGCCAATGGCAGCGCGTTCCAGAACTGCAATGACGGTCAAAGGTGTGAAGAGGAAGTGCAACAATTTCAGGTGCGTTCGGCTCGTGAATGTGATTCTTGAGTTTGGCCTGAAAAACTCCACGGTTTACGACATTTCGTCACAATGTGATAATTTAGAGCTTACCAAAAGATTGAAACTGAGTTTAAATTTTCTGAAAATATCGACGAATTCAGGTTCAATGGGCAATTGTGCTCGCATCTGAAGAATGCCATTGGGATCCGGCGGTGGTGGTCCACTCCGCTTGTCGCGGCGCATCGCAGTTCTATAGCGGTGTGCCTGGAAACGAATGTTTTCACATGGTGTCTTTGGAAAAATGGAAAAATAAAAATTGTCCAGTAGTAGCAAATACCCAATGAATCCTTTCATAATGGTGCTTTTAAAACCCTGGGACGAAACTGATGGCAAATACCTGCGTGCCGCACGCGGTGCGATTGGTGACCAGTAATTTTGGCCATACCCTGTAATATGGCCCTTGGAACCTATCCACCCGTGGGTTCTCCCAAAATCGAAACTCCTCCCTTGTTAGGCACAATCACGGCGTCACGGATAAATGAAGCGTGGGTAAACAAGCCCCGACAATCCCTTGATGCTGGCTAAACCTTTTGTGGGATACGCCACGCATGCTACATCCATCCATCCGGCAATTGTGGCATGTCAAACCTCTACTATGACCTGCGAAGGCCGGCCGGCGCAAAAACCAGTTCCTTAGTGGTTTCTCTTCCAGAACAAATCTACTCGTAATTAATAGACCCAGCGAATCGAAATATCAGGAGTGGGGCGTGATTCGATTCAGGACTTGATCCCCGGATCATATATGCGGTAGCGGAGCCACTTGTTCTTATGCCACGGTCTCCCGCATGCGTGCGTAACTCTATCAAATATAGAAAGACAAACAATCATTGATAACGAAATCAATATTTAGCTGAGACAGCTCGAAATGGACAATATTGAGTTTTTTGGGGCGTCACAAGGCAATGGCCGTGACACACATGATCAAATAGCCTCCCTTCCGCACAACTTTTCCCCTGAACATCCTGATCATTCCTCTGACATGAACTCTCCCTAAGCCCGCAGCTCAAAACTTCATAAATACTTTAATTATTTCAAATTAATGTCAGTTGTTTGAAAAATCATCTTCCTTCAGGGGGGGGGAGGCGCCCCTAGAGTTATTGTCAGCAATAGCAACACTGGATCCTACTGGTACTTAAGATCGCATGCTCTCTCTTCGGTAATGAAAAGGTCATCTCAAGATGCTTTTTGGGAAAGATGGCTGTGCTGACAAAGGGGCCAGACTTTCTCGCATGGCTCTTCTGAGGCGGTAGATTTGCAGAGGATCAACGATCAGCAGCCCAATAGCGCGACCACCAATTAGCGCTATTTTTAAAACCCTGCGCTGATTGCTATCCCCTGAATTTCACTGCTTTTTTGACATATCCAGCAGTTACCCACCTGCTGTTCGAGTTCCCTCTGAGCGAACGCAGCCGATTGAATCCGAGCCACAAATCTCTCGATGTCGTCGAAACAACGATTGAGTGTGTTCTGGAACAACATATATCATAGCTGACGTCCAAAGTGCTAGCAACGGGGTAATGGTGGGGGTTTACGACTTACCACGTCCCTTTCAAACAGCTCCGAGTTGTCAC